GCCATTCGCCGGATGACAGCGTCTTGGTCCCTCAACTTATTTTCCAGACGTCTGGCGTGTGAGTCTCTCCTCCGCCGGTGACCGTCTGGACTCCGTGAATGACCGTGACTTCTTCCGCGCTTATCCCGCGCGTCTCCTGACTGTCCTCCGGTGGGCGTCCCCAAGTCCGCCATTGGATGGATGGCAGGAGGGCCTTCTCTCCTTCGGGTTAACTCCGGGGTGGCTCCGTCTATATCAAACAACGGAAACTCGTCGTTGTTCGCCATGGACGGCGATTAGATGAACCTGGAAGACAAGGTTTTGTCTGTCAAGATTCCCACAGACGGCGCCAATTGTACGGGGAGCAAATATTCAGGCAAGCCCGTATTCCTTTCTTCCAAGCTCCGTTTCTGTCTGATCACCTGAAAGCACAATGAGGGTGAGCTTCCCGGCGGTGTGTGGCCGGAAAACCCCTCCGACGATCTAATTAGCACACACCTTAGGGACAGGAGAGAGAGAGAGTATTTGAGTGTAGGAGTTCCTTACAAAGTGTTCGTCTGTCTTTTGTATGGGCGGCGCAGACATGCTTATATACCCTTCTGCGTCCCGAACCTGCTCCCAATGGTCTCTCGACACGTGGCTCTGCTATCCCATCTGTCAGCATAAATCCTGCTGAGCGTCACCCAATCTCAACTGCCCGCTCACTCTATTGGGAGCTCGGCAGCCAAGCTACACCATCTTATCTGCCAACGGTCGTGCTGTGCTTCATGTCCAAGCACTCCACTAGCTAAGTTTAACGAGGACCGGGCTGGGCAACATCTCGGCAAAGCCGAGCAAACAGGTACCTCGGCTGACCACGCCTTTCCGGACGCCGGACACTTAACTTGACTAGCTTCGCCTCCGCCAAACATGTAGCTCGGTTCAACCAAACGTTACCTTAACTGAGCAACTTCTTTCCAAACTGGGCCACACATCCTCGGCCCAACACTTGCCCGACCCAAATCTGTCCGGCCAAACCCTGTCTGGCCTAGATCTGTCCGGCCCAGTACCAGATCATTAATCTCCCTCTCAAAATACATGATCCTAATGATGCAAAATGACTAATGCAATACATGCAAAAATGCAATTAATAGGTTCAGTTGTCTAATATATCACGTAAATCACTTTGATAGCATGTGGTGCGCATGTATTCAAGGAAGTAATAAATGACAATGCCGTTAAAATGATGAACCAAACCTTATGTGTGCATGACAAATGGATGCAAATCATGGGAAATGCTAAAAGAAACATGATGCTCTATGCTCTCCATCATAAATGAGTAAATAAAAGGGAGAAAGAAATGGGGGTTGGAAGATAAACACATTATTACAATTGTGCCCTCCTACAAGAGGATCCGAATAAATGTCCTACACTACTAGAAATATGACTTTTTGCGTCTACTTTTTTGCGACTGCTAATTTAACCGTCACAAAAAATCATTTTTGACCTTAAAATCTCATTTTACAATCTCATTTTCCTGACCCAATCGTGTTCTCATTTTACAATCTCATTTTCCTGACCCAAATCATTAAAACTTGACTCTCTCTCTCTCCCCTTCAATCCTTTTTTTTTTCTTATTTCCCAAATCTGAACTCTCTTTCTCTCCCTCTCAAAATCTGTCTCTCGCTTGATTCTTACTTGAATCTCACTGCCTCTCTCACTCGAATCTGTCACTAGAATCTGTTGATCGATTCAACTCTCTTGTCCACAACTATTGAAGATTTTATAATCGGTAAGCCTAAACACATCTTTATCGATTCCACTCTCTCTGTAATGATCCGAATTATGTACTTCTCTGTAATGAAATCTGTCTCAAGAAGAATCTGTAGCAGCGCTTTACACGGAGCTATGGCGCGCTTGTGCCGGTGCGCTCGTGATAGTGCCTCGTGAAGGCGAATGCGTGTTTTATTTTCTTCAAGGACATATTGAGCAGGTTAGTTTCTAACTCCAGGCAATTAGATTCGGAGTTCTTTGTTTCTCTCAGAGGTTAGATTTATTAGGATTTCTCATAATGCTCTATAATTTTATCAATTTTGTCTATCTTGGTTGTGCATCTCCAATTGTTCATCAGATTCAAATTTGATAAAAAAAAATGGCTCCAAAATGTTTGATTATTGATGAAGAATTATGTTTGATTATCTTCAGTCATCAAAATGATATTATTCCAATTTTGCCATCATACAATGATTTTAGGAATTTCTAAATTTTTATTTTATTATTTTATGATCTAGAACTAGCTGATTTTTTTGTGTGGCCTCTGCCTTATGAGGTTGAAACACCTTACCTTGTGATTTTTTTGCATTTGAAAATGCTATGATAGAATGTATTCTTGAATTGGTGTTTAAGTTACACCAGCCAACAGCCAGCCTCTCAGGTTTGTATGTTTGGGCTCCAAACCAAAAGACACCTCCACAATTGTGGTGTCCTGTGTCATCTTATAAGTCCATCATGGACATAATCCACAACTGAACTGGGATTTATTTCTCTACTGTAGAGTAAAGCAATTGTCAAATGTAGAAGATAGGAAGCGCATTAATCTCATTCACCTTAAATGGAAAAATAAGAAAGTGTCCATACATTCAATAGAAGGGAAGTTACATCCCTGATGCTGATACTGGAAATGATTGATTGCATACCAAAGGATTCAAATATCAAAAGAGGTAAAGATATGTACTCAGAATTTGTATGGAAAAATTCTAAGAAAATCTGTACATGGCTAAGATTCAACTCACGTTTTATAAAACTCACATTTATAATCACAGTATAATGCAAATGACACAATTAATCAATCAAATGATTTGATTATAGTAGAAAAAGATCAGGTTAGAAAAACATATAATTTTTTTTATGAATATATGTGCATATCTAATTATATTTAATATATAGTATTAAAAATAAAATAGGAAAATTAGCAATACCTCCTCCATCATAAATCTATAATTCCTAGCAAAAGATGATTCAAAGTTGAAGTCCCTCTGTTTTTTTATTTAGGGAGACAGATTCCATTACTTTTTATAATTTTTTGTGACTAGTTTGACGATTACTTCACTTCGTCCTCAATACCTCAATCATAAGAGGTGTTAAACAAGCCAAATAGTTAATTGTTTAAACTTAATTTGATAATTTTAACGAGTTATAAAATTTATTCAAGTTTAGTTCGTTAAACTTTGAAGCTGATCTTAAATGAAGTTTTGTCAAGGCGAACTCGAGTAATTTGGTAGTTTTAGGCTCATCGAACCGAGTCGAACAAGCAATGGACTATTTAAACTTGGTTTAAAAATTTTAATGAGTTTTAAAATGTGTTCTAACTTGATTTATTTACTTAACGAATGAAGATCAAACGAATTTTTAACAACCCAAACACCAATCAACCTCAAATTATTTGGTTCATTTATCACTCGTAAGAGTCCCAAAATAACTCTCAACGTGATTATGATTGCAATGAATAAAACACTTGAATCAAAGTCAACAATGCAATTTATCTGAGTGGAGTTTACCTGCCTACTTTCATTAGCACTATAGATGTGATCTTTCAAACCACTAATGCAATGACAATGAGCATTATATTGGTTGTTGTTCAAATCAAGCAGCAACTTGAATTCATTCTAGTTATTATATTTGTAGTAGAAGAATTGCTTTGAATTAATTTCATTATTTGTTTTCCTTAATGTTATTTCCACTTTTGTGGCCATGTGATGTCTGTTATGGTTTGTTGATTACTTGTTGTTTTGTTTTGGGTTGTTTCGAATGGCACTTTGCCAATCTTGGTCGGAGTTTTTCATTTTATTATTTTTTTTCTCTTAGTGTTCGCATATGATTGGTTTATTTCATGTCATCTTAATTGGAATATGTTTAGTTGGCAATGTTGCATTTTATCACCATGGATCGTTGTTTGTTTTTTTTATTTTACTTATTCTTTTTTATTAATAAAAATTCTTTTTTGTCTGATAATTTTTTTTTAAACAAAAAAGAATTGAACCAAATTTACTTTTTTACAATTGGTGTTTGTACCTCAGTAGTTGTCTATACAAGTTAATAATTTTGAAGGATTCTCGTGAGATGATCATCGGATGATCTAAGCCATATGATTGATGGGCTATGTTGATGCGTTTCACTGACCCAAAATCCATGCAATGTTTTTGAAAATAATAGAGTTGATTACACTTATGTCCCCTAAGATTAAAAGAAAATAGACCGAGACTTACAATTTTAACATAATTATATTGAGTTTTTTTTAAAGATTTTAGTTCATATATGTAACGCCCTAATTTACTTTTTTACAATTGGTGTTTGTACCTCAGTAGTTGTCTATACAAGTTAATAATTTTGAAGGATTCTCGTGAGATGATCATCGGATGATCTAAGCCATATGATTGATGGGCTATGTTGATGCGTTTCACTGACCCAAAATCCATGCAATGTTTTTGGAAATAATAGAGTTAATTACACTTATGTCCCCTAAGATTAAAAGAAAATAGACTGAGACTTACAATTTTAACATAATTATATTGAGTTTTTTTTAAAGATTTTAGTTCACATAACACCTAACCACATTATTCACCCAAAAAAACACCTACTGCATTTTCATATAGATAAAAAAAAATATTATTGTCATCTCTTCTACATAAGAATGTGTATTTTACCTTATTTATTTTTGTGCCATATATATAATTTATATGTATCAACAAAAAAATTCAGGTTGTTAGGGTTACTTGAGTTATGAAAACTCATACGCAAACCGTTTTCAAATTTAATTTGGATTAATAAATTTTGGTCCAATTTCTGACTAAATTTAATAGTTTAATAAATTTTTGTTAGACCGTAGAATAACACTTGTTGGGTTGCATTGAACTAAAAGTGTTCATGGGCCATTGGTTTTATTTGGTGTACTTTTTGAACTATAATATACACTTGTCATTGTGATACTTTGCAAACTCATTCTTTTTATTGATGTGTACAAAAACAGTTAAAGAAATAGAAAGATGAACAAGAATTGGATTGATTTGCCAAATCGGATGTTAGTTGATTACGTGAATGGGATTGATAACTTCTTGAGATTTGCATACAACAATAGAGATGGAAGTTCATCAATTAGTTGTCCGTGTCGATTTTATAGTAATCGATACAATTTTTCGCGAGAGGTTGTAAGGGAGCATCTTATTTCCAATGGGTTCGTAAAAAAGTACAAAAATTGGATTCATCATGGGGAATCCTATGTCCAATTACATGGTAACCAAGAAAACCAAACATTAATGGAGGATTCAGTGACTAGAGATGATGTGGTTGGGATGGTACAAGAGGCCCTGGGAATTCCACATATGGGTGTTGAGAATGATGAACTAATTGCAAGTGATCCAGCCTAAGCAGGGGCAAGTGATCCAAGCCATGTAGAGGAAGATGATCCGGTTCGGATAGGGACAAATGACGAAACTTTGAAATATTTTAAACTTTTGGAAGATGCACAAACTGATCTGTACCCAGGGTGTCACAAATTTACTTCACTATCATTCATTGTTCGAATTTTGCATATGAAGGTGCTCAATCAATGGACCGACAAGTCTGTTGACATGTTACTTGAACTTTTGAATGAGGCTTTTCCTACGGGCACAAAACTTCCAAGTTTATATTATCAAGCTCAGAAGGTTACTACAGATTTGGGTTTCACATATGAGACTTTTGATGCTTGCCCCAATAGTTGTATGTTGTTCAGAAAACAGGATACAAAGCTTGATAAATGTGTTATATGCAGTAGTTCTAGATGGAAACAAAATGGTGGTATTGGAAATGATGAAAGGGAATTTGGTAAATGGGTAGCAGCAAAACAGATGAGGTATTTCCCTTTGAAGCCAAGGTTGCATAGATTGTTTATGTTATCGAAAACGGCAAAGCTCATGAGATGGCATGCGGAAGAATGGGTTGATGATGGTGTGTTAAGGCATCCTGCTGACTCCCTCGCATGGAAGGGCTTTGATCGGCAAAACACTTGTTTTGCTAGTAATAGTTGTAATGTATGTCTTGGGTTGGCTACAGATGAATTCAACCCATTTAGATCGATGAACATAGTTCATAGCACTTGGCCAATTGTGTTGATTCCGTATAATTTACCACCATGGATGTGCATGAAGCAACCAAATCTGATTTTGTCTGTGCTGATTGATAGGCCAAAAGGACCTGGCGATAAGATTGATGTGTATTTGCAATCATTGATTGAGGAGTTGAAGGAATTATGGGATGAAGGTGAACAAACATTTAATGCATCAACCAATGAAATGTTTCAATTGCATGCAGCTCTGTTATGGACAATCAGTGACTTTCCTACCTACGCCAACTTATCAGGATGGAGTATGAAAGGTGAATATGCTTGTCCTTGCTACAATGTGAAAACTCAATCATGTTGGTAAAAACATGGTAGGAAGTATTCATACATGAGTCATCGTCGTTTCTTACCAATTAATCATAAATTTCGAAAGGATAAAGTATCATTTGATGGTAGTCGAGAATGGAGACTAACACCTCAAATGTTATCTGGATCTGAGATGTTGCATCAGTTGGAATCAGAAGGCGTCCTTAGTCAGTATAAGAGGAATGACCTTAAGAAAATGTTTAGGAGACAAGAAGAGAGGGAAAATAACGGAAGAAGAAGCCATAATTGGAAGAAAAAAAGTATATTCTATGAATTGCCGTATTGGGAGCACAACTTAATAAGACACAATCTCGATGTGATGCACATAGAGAAAAATGTCTGCGATAATATATTGTGTAGACAATACTAGGAGTTGGAGGAAAATCCAAAGATAATGTGAATGCTTTACGTGATTTACAAGAAATGAATATCAAAAAACCATTGCACTTGCAGTCAAGAGGGTTCAATAAAGTTTATGTACCTCCTGCACAATTCACAATGATCAATGATGAGAAAGATATGTTTCTCAAAGTACTCAAGGAAGTAAGAGTACCGGATGGTTATGCATCCAATATCTCGCGACACGTGCGCTTACAAGATAGAAGTATTTGGGGTCTTAAGAGCTATGATAGTCATATTTTGATACAACAACTTATTCCTTTAGCTATACGGAGGTCCTTGCCTAAGAATGTGATTGAACCGTTGATTGAGTTGAGCACTTTTTTTAGACAATTATGCTCCAAAGTGAAGCGTACAAGTGATTTGGAATATATTCAGGATCGTATTGCGATAACTCTTTGTCATTTTGAAAATTTTTTTCCACCATCTTTCTTTGACATAGTGGAACACTTGCCTATACATCTTGCTGATGAAGCTTTGATCACTGGAGCAATACAGTTTCGATGGATGTATCCCATTGAAAGGTTTCTTCTTACATTGAAACAATATGTGCATAATCAAGCTCATCCGGAGGGCTCAATAGCTAAGGGGTATTTGATGGAAGAATGCATGAACTTTAGTTCTCGCTATCTCCTTGATGTGGAAACCAAATCTAATCGACCGAGGAGAAACAACGAAGGTGATAACAACATGGGTCGAGCTGTAGGCGAAAGTACAACATTTTATCTTAATGATAATGAATTACAACAGTGTCACCGATATGTGTTGTTCAACACAAGTTCAGTTGCACCATTCATAAGGTAATTTATCACTCCCCTAGTATTGTAAAATTCTAAAGTGAAATCTATATGATATTTACTATTCTCTTTCAATTTACACAGCAAACACCTTGAAGTCATTAAGAGCAAAATGCCACATGCAAGCGATCATCAATCTGAGCATTTCGAAACATTCTACACTTGGTTTAAGGACCATGTATGTATTTAGACATTTCATTTCACATATCTAAATATGCATCAATTTTGAGTTGAAGTTGAAGTTGAAGTTGAAGTTGAATTTATATTTGTCTTTTTAATAGGTTCAGACCTTGCGAAGGACAAGTAATATTATATTTACTAAAGAAATCAATAGATTAGTAGATGGTCCTCATACCTTGGCTAGGCGGTTCAATGGTTACATTATCAATGGGTTTCATTTTCGTGTGAAGGTTGTGGATGATCATTGGGTGACTCAAAATAGTGGTGTAGCTTTAAAGGCTGATACAATGAGTTATGCTAGTCGGAAGGACAAGAGTCCTCGTGTCGGTGTTGTGTACTACTACGGGCAATTGACTGATATTGTCGAAATTCGGTACACTAACAATATGAAATATGTGTTGTTTAAGTGTGATTGGGTTGATAACACTAAGGGGAAAATGGAAGACGCTTTCAAATTCACATTAGTCAACTTCAATCGTTTGTTGTACCCAACCGATCGTGTTAGCAATGAACCTTTTTTATTATCATCCCAAGCCGAGCAAGTTTGGTATGTTCCTGATCCCTTGGAACCAGATTGGCAAGTTGTGGTAAAGATGTCTCAAAGAGGTCTTTTTTATATGAATTCTAATGATGACCCTCAAGTTGAACCTTATATGACTTAATATTTGGAAGACAACGCTATGCTTCGTGATGAAGAAATTGGTTGGGTGAGAGAAGGAATAGAAGGAGCAACAATTGATGTTGATGAAGAGGGTTGAACTTCGTTTGTGATTGTTAAGGAAGAGGGTTGAACTATGCTTCGTGTTTCTTAGGTTTTTATTATTTGCAAATAAGCAAAGTTTAAATATTGTTAAAATGTCTCGTGCTTAATTGCTAAATTTGTGAGAAATTTATATATGTTTATCTGTTGTTTTATTATCAAGTGTAGAGCTTCATAAAGATTTTCTTTCTTTTTATAATGAATGTTTACTTGCTGTGGTGGTTGTTTTTTATTCAATAACAATGTCGGTTCTGATAGTTAGGAGCTTAGGAGACATCGTTGTGGACTTGCATACGGATCTCTGTTCTTTGAAATGGCCAATGCAATCGAGAGGGAAATTGCTACCTTGCAATTGAAAGTATGTTAAAGAGTTTATAGGTAATGTTTATGTTGCAAGTTTTTAGTGTTTGATCTAATTATAAATTATTTGTTGATATAGGAAAAGAAGCTTATCAATATTAGGCGAGTAAAGAAGTATAGGTATATGTATTCTTTATAAAATTTTAATTAATGTTTTAATGATAAATAACTAATGTTTGATATTCTAACCAATGTCATAGGCGATTGCTAAGAAGAATTCTTCTAATCGGGGATTTCGTGGGCCTCCACATACGACTGGAAGGACATCTTTCTCAGATATTCGTTTCAATGTATTGATATTGTGGCTGTACCTAAGGCATGCTGCAGCTGCAGCTGTAGCCGTAGCCGCACCTAGTGCACTTGGTGTGACACTTGTGGTTGCAGTTGTGGCTGCACCTAGTGCTGCACTTTTGACTTATTATGTTGTGAAGACTTGAGCTCCTAACTTGAAAAAAATTGCAAATGACACATAAAGGAGAGCGGATAGATAAGATGAGTCTCTGGAAAAGGGCACACAACCTGAATGATCCCGATGTGGTGGCAATTGTGGTATGTCTATGGTTTAAATGTTTTTCCACATTTTTTGCTTTTTACCAAACATTGTCCTTATGTTTTCAAAATGTAGAAGGAATATAATGTGCATCTTTGGAAAGTTCCTAAGGAGCAACATACGATTGAGTATTGCGATGGGATTTACCATAAAATCGTTGGGAATGATGGACATGGGTATTGCAAGACCTATGGGAAAGGAGTGCCCTGGAGTGTGGTGTATGCGCGAGGCAGCGGCCCATCCCAATCATTAGTAGCCCCTTCATTTATTGATGAGATCACGCAGCGTGTGACACAAGATGTTGAGTCTAGGTTCACTACGATGATCAAGAACCTAACGGCACGTGTTTTATTCTTAGTGTCACAGGGTGTGGCTGGGAGTATGAGCTCGAGAGAGGTGCAATACTTACAAATTTACAAATTGACAAATTTTACGTTTTATCAATTTGTATATATACATATGGAAATTATTAACACATTATACTAACATATTATAGGTGTCAGATGCATCTAGTGGGCAACAAGCTTCAAAAGAAAATGAATAGGTATGCATTTCTCTGCTTTTAATGAATTTTTCAGCTTATTATGAATTAGGTTGCCTATTTCTCTGAATATCTCTTTGGAATACTTCTTTTTTCCCTTATATTTCTGCATGTATTTATCATATGGACCATGTATTATGTCGTATTAGATTTGTTGCTTCTGTGCTGCCCTTAAAACAACTAAACACATGAAACATATTGCTGGATCACAGGAAAAATAGTTATATCTAAAGTTCAGGTGAAGCTAACATGGATAAGGTTTTCAACAAGAATAACAAGTCAAGGGCCATAGATTCTAAAGCAGATTGATAAATGCACCCCAGAGGTATTGTTACAATTTTCCTTGTTTTTAGATACTTTTTCTCTAGATTTAAGTGAATTGCTGATGATTTTTTGTTTTATGAGTTGCATTGTGGGGGATGTGAGTGGATCTGAGGTGTGCGGTTCAGAATAACTAAATGAAAAAGAATTTTATATAGTATCAAACATGTTTTCTTAATTGAAATTTGCGAATCTAGTGCTTGGTCTAGTCAAAACCTTTACCTCTAGTCCACTGATGAAGTTGCTACTCATTTCTAGGTTTAAGTGGGAATTTGATCTATAATGAGTTGATTTCAATTCGATATGGTCTGGTTTTTCCAGTTGATATGTGTGGTTAACTTTGTTGTTGTTTTCATTTATACATTTGTTTTCTTTGTTAGTCATTAGAGTGCTAGTAGATTCATCCAATTGGAGTTGGTGAGAATTATGGTTGTCTGAATGGGCCAAGCTTATTGCAATCATAATATCCTCTGATACATGGCTTAATGGTTCCTCTATGTCATATAAAATGAATCAACGCAATTATTCTACAATGATTATAAGAAGTTCGCTGCCATCTGGATGATTTGACTGTCTTTTTACATCTAGGTAATTTGTGATAAATGCATAATGACCAAATGTTAAAATGTTGCCGGAATCAAATCATTCAACAATGTTCTGCTACTAAATTTGTTTTGGAAAGAGATTTTTGCCAAGTTCAAAGTGCCTTATTACCTAATTTAATAAGTATATTGAAGTAGGCTTTTATGGAGCAATATAATAGCAGGATTGTTAAGAATAGACTTTTAGGCATGATGGAAAACAGGTACTGTACATGTATATAATAGAATCCTTGATTGTATATCTCAATAAGGCCTTATGGGGTAATTGTTGAATTGATTTCTGGTTAGCCACCAAATTAATCAATGCTAGTTTTCTTGTTATCTTCTGTTAGATTGGCTAATCAAACTAGTGTGATTAGTCAATTTGGATCAGTAACTGCCAGTCAGTGTATATCATGTTTGTTGCTGGGATGCCATGTGTAATTTGTGCATGCTCTTGACTGGTGAGTATGCAGAGCATCATCCAAAATAGTAACATATTTAAAAAT